AGGTGGAATCATGTCTCATCAAGTGGAAGAGAAGTCCATTTGTAGGTGTGCTGATGAAAATATTCTGCTGCTGAACACAAAAGAATAACTGAAAGACTATTATTGTATACCTCTTATTCTCCTCTGTTTAATTGTTTGCCCTATTTTGTGGGTTCATTCCATTCTCATTCATGGGGCTATAATCAATTTACTCCCTCTCTAGAACATCATTTAGTAGTCAGACTCAGTTTTTAAATGGACATTTTGTAGCATGAAGTAGTTTTTTAATTTGAGTGTCTGTTGTTTACCTGATGTAAGTCAACTTGAAACAGAATCCTTTATTGCAACAATTATTCAATTATTTTGGATCTTATTTTGTGTTGATTATAAGTGGTAATTGTGCTGTTGGAAATGTCTGAAATTTACCTATCTAAATATAGCATGGCATGAAAGATGGAGTTTTGTTTGTTTATTTTCTTTTAGGACAGAGTTCATTCAAAGAGGCAGGATTTCAATCACAGGGGCTGGATTTCTCAACTGTATTTTGGAAACTTTTGCCAGCACTTTCTTAAAACAGGGAGCCCAGAAGGTAAGCTTGTTTCCACTTAGAGCCCATGTTAATTTTAAGAACTCATGGGGAGTCCAACAGGGTATTGAGTAAAACGTAATAAAAGAAAAAGTCATGAACATATACAATGAGAAAAAGTACTATCAATACACAAGTATAACAAAAAGTAATTGCTTTTAATAATTATTATATATATAAATCCTAATCAAAATAAAACTAAAGTGTTAATTCAGGCCCATTAAATTAAAAATATGCCAATGAAAAATATGTGACATATGGGGAATATTTATAATCTAATTAAGAGACATAATCAGAAAGTGTTTACAGTATATATAATATGATGGCAATTATTTAATAAAAATTATAACAATGGCTAGTATTTATCGAGCACCGACTATGTACCTACCACCAACTGTTCCCAAAATATTTTTATTATCTCATCACACACCCTTAAAATGGCTATTATTATCTATATTATGAATGAGGAAAATACGGAGACTGAAATCTGAAGTGTCTCTCTTTTTTTTACTGTGTGCTTGAGGGGACTTAGGGTCCCATGAAGGTATTTTGGAGACCACCCTTAAGTTCTAAGGTCCTCTGTGCACCGTATTAAGTTGGTCTGTTTTGTTTTTGTCTTTAACCTGTTGTATATAGTAGTACATGTAACATTTATATATACTATTTCCTTCCTAGCCTTCCTTTTAAAACTTATCTAGGACAAAATTCATTCTTGGATGCATCTTCATGTGCCTATTTCTATGTTGATTATACAGCGGATATTCAAAAGTTTTATTGTTATCATTGAGACGGTGCTCACTCATTTGTTTTCAGAGTTTACTCAGAACACATGCACATGTTACTTTGTTTTGTTTTGTAGATAAAGTTAACGGTTGCTCTAAAGAACTGTTATAATAACCACAGATTTCTGAGCAATTGACTTCTTCTGTTTGAAAGTTCAGGTTCAGCAGTGAGCCTGGAGCAGGTGGCAGCAGTCTGGGGTGCTGAGGGTGATGAAGGACTATTTGTCAGTGTCTGTTCATGAGCCACAGACACTGGTGAGGTCGATGGTGCACACTTGGCCCATTTGAAGCGGTTCCTGGCACGGATCTTTAAACCTGGGCTTGAAGGAAGTGGCCGTGCTTTTGAGAGATCTCATGTCACCTTAGCACACTGAAACATTTTTTCCCTTTTTCTCTTTTATATCACATTTATATATATTTATAAAAGCCCCTGTGTTCTGCAAAATTCCTCTCTAAAAATATAGTACCATTTCCTTGACCCTGTCTCAGTTGCTGGCTATCTCATCCCATTAATCCTGAATTGGAAAAATGTAATAATTTAGTATGAGTTTTCACTGTAGGCCTATTAAACATAAGAGTGGAATTCTTATTTTGGGAGGGATGATATTTAGTTGAATGAGGGATGATATTTTAGCTGAACACTAATAGTGTTCCCTAGAATCAAACTGATTGCAAGTGTTCATTTATAAAAACTATTCTTACCTTGTGGGTTGTATAAAAACAGATGGTGGGCTGGATTTGCCAGTCTCTGCTTTAGGTAAATAAATATTGTTCAGTTAACCTAAGTGAGTCTTTATTTGATCTGCTGATCAGTCTGAACTTGTTAATTTGTGTGTGTGTGTGTGAGAGAGAGAGAGAGTGTGTGTGTGTGTGTGTGTGTGTATGAGAGAGAGAGAGAGAGAGAGAGAGAGAGAGAGAGAGAGAGAGAGAAAGAGACAGAAAGAGACAGGGTCTTGCTATGTAGTCCAGGCTGGTCTGGAGTCACTGTATAGCCCCACATTATCATTGGGCTCTCAGCGATCCTCCTGCGTCAGCTTTCTGAATGCTGGGATTACAGGTGTGCATCACTGTGCCTGGCCTCTTATTTTGAATCATACTATGGTTGTGTATTTTAATCCTGTGAGATGCAGGAGGCAAATTCATTCCCATTTTTTTTTTAAAGAAAATTTACTTGAGATGAGTACAGCCAATATGTCAGTAACTGCCTGCTCCTTTTCCTTAGAAATTGTTCAGCACTTGCTTTGTGCTAGCCTCTGTGGTTTGTGGGCTAAATGGACTTACTGAAGGCAACAGAACTAGTAAAACAGAAGAGTCTGGACTCAAAGCTCCCCCACTGACAGAAAGACTTACTTCTTGTTACTCTCCTGTGTAGCCCTCCTAGGAATCAAATGTAATCCCTATCTTCCAAGCATCATGGACTTCACAAATGCTGCTGGCTGTTGGACAAATTTGTGTTATGGTCTTACATAGGTTCTACTTCTTGGAGGTGTTTGGTTGCAAGTAACAAGCCGCTGGAGGACAGCTCTCTGTAAGGGAACCGTGGTAGTGATGATGGCAGCCTTCGGAAAGGTCTGCCCTGCAGCCAGCAGCTGCCAAGAACCCACATAGTGTACCTTCTTCGGCTCTTGTCTGCACAGCTGTGTGTCTGTTTCATTCTTCTCTCTTTTTTCAGTATGTTTTTCTCTGTACTGGGATGTCAGTTTCCATTGTCCAAGTGTCATATTTTACAGAGCTCTGGCCAACAGAAAGACTGTCTCTTCTTTCTCAATTCTCTAGGATAGTCCTGTGGTGGCCTTCTGTACATAAAGCACAAAAAGGAGGGTGAAAGATGGTGTGGATTGAGTTCGAGGTCACATCTTAGAGAAAGGGCTGGGGAAAGAAAGGCATACATTCCCAAAGGGGAGAGCTAGGGGTGGAACTCAGTACTACCTGGCTATCGTAGAAGGGGTTCTGGGTTCAGTGTCCAGCAGTACTAAAAACCCCAGAAATCTCTGTAGACCTGGGACTCAGTGGCAGAGCACTAGCTTGCGCGGAGCCGTGGGTTTGATCTGCAGAATCACTACCACTTAAAAAAAAGTCACAATTTTTGTAATATGCTCAAGTAGATTGTATGTCTTTTGATTGCAGAAAGATGGTTTTACTAATCTTAATCCAGATTCCTCTAGCATCAATTCTAATGTGGGCTGTGCTCTATATTTATCTATCTAGAAAGAAATATAAAGAAAATATAGTACACCATGAGATCCATAGTTGCTTTCTGATGAATATTTATTATTATTATTATTATTATTATTATTATTATTTTGTATTTTAGGGAAGGGTCTACAGGGTGTGCAGGGTCTCACCACTAGATTGGATTTGTAGTGATTCTTCTGTTTGCAACCTCCCAAAGTGCTGGGATTACAGGCGTGTCACCACACCCAGTCTCAATTGGGGGCCTAGGGATCATCTGATGAATATTAATTGAAAAACAAAGTTAAGTGACTTGGAAGTTTTTAAAGTGAAGAATGCAAGGGGCTCCGCTTCTGTCTCACTTTTTTTTTTTTTTTTTTTTAAGTGCTCAAAAGTGAGAATCCATTTTTCTTGCTGGCTTTTGCCTTTTCTGACTTCTTTTTTTCTAAGAGGCTAAGTTTAATTAGCTTTTCAATTTTGGCAGCCACTTATGCTTAAGTATCTTTTGCCTTTCATCCAAGTGGTGATGTTTTCAGGTATCAGCCTGATTTCCCGATGAGCCTTCACAGCTGAGCCTGCATAAATGGCTTCTGTGGAGGCCCCTGGGAGGCTTTCAGGTGACTTTATTTTCACTTTTGGACTTTATCCCTGAGGCTGTTTGCTTGTGCTAACGGTAGGATCTGATATCTTACTTTTTTTTCAGTGAAAGCAAAACCAGGCTCTTATAAACTTCATATGTCTGTGTTTGTAAATTAAAATCTTGGCCTAGATATGGATCCCAAGTTGAGGTCGCTTGTCTTTATGCGCCTCTGGGGCTTGTTCAGCTGCTTATTTCTTTCCCTTACCATTCAGACAGCTTGCAGGTTTGTGGCCTCCATGCTGGCTTTTCAGCACCTCTCCAAACCCAGCCCTTTTGGACTGGAGGCACAGCGTAGGGAGGGGGGAGGTTTCCCCGTGGGCGTCAGGCCAGCAGGTGTGCCCTGCAACAGGAGTGTCTCTGCGTAAACAGCCTGCCAGGCTCTCTGCCATCACCTTTGTGTCCTGGCACACATCATTTTGCTCCCTCATCCCAGGTTTGTTCTTCTGAAAAGTAAGGTGTTAGCACATTCCCATAGGTAGTGTGGAGACTATCGTTCAGTACACTGATGAGCGGAGGTCAGACATACTGGCTTGGTATAGTGGCATAAACCTACAATCCCAGCTCCTGGGGAAGCTGATCCAGGATAATCATGAATTCCAGGCCACTGTGGGCAACCCAAAAACCAGACCAAACCACACCACACCACACCACACACCACACCAAACCATACCACACCACACCACACCACACCACACCAAACCAAGCCAAACCATACCATACCACACCAAACCACACCACACCATACCACACCACACCATACCACACCACATACCACACCACACCACACCAAACCAAACCATATCACATTACATCACACACCAAACCACACCATACCACACCACACCACACCAAACCATACTGTACCACACACCACACCACACCACACCACACCACACCACACCGCACCAAACCACACCACACCACACCAAACCAAACCAAACCAAACCATACCACACTACACCACATACCAAATCACACCAAGCCAACCACACCAAACCAAACCACACCATACCACACCACACCACACCAAACCACACCATACCACACCAAACCACACCACACCACACCACACTACACCATACCACACCACAACAAACCAAACGAAACGGCTGGGAATATAGCTTAGTGTGAAGTCTGTCAGTTGAATACACAGTAGTACCAAAAAAAAGTTCCTTGTTTTAAGACTTAAAAAATCATAATCTTATTCTTTCTACTTATGGTTAGAAATTTACAAATTTTTTCATCAAAGTCATGCAAACACAAGTAGTCTACACAACTAGATTTTAAACTCAGAATTCCCACTCTACGAGCACTGTTTGGGTGTCAGTTGTGTACTATGCGTTGTCTCCGGTAGCGCGCTGGAGACATGGGAGGAGGAAGCGTCTACAGACTTGCAGTACGCAGCTTTA